GGCTGCTCTTCCGATGTTTTCTCTGGCCTGGTTTCAGGCGGACTGGTTTGGGCTGGCTGCTCCTCTGATGTCTGCTGAGGCTCACCGGAACGTGGCACGCTGGGTTCGGTGGGCGTGTCTGACGTTGCTGCGGTGACAGGTTTGCCAGTAGTTGTTTGTTCAGGAGCAGTGGTATCAGCAAATGATGTGGCTGGCGCTGGCGCAGCTGGATCGTCGGCTGGCTTCTTCCACGGCAATTTTCGTCTCTGCGAGCCCTCCGGTCCGAGCTTGGTTTCTGCGTTGCTGACTGTTGTTGGTGCTGCAGCTGCTGCGTCCACCGTGGCTGCTGCATCCCCTGCGGCATCTGCTGGCGGCGCGGCAGCAACAAAATTTGCCTCCAGTCCGGACACAGAGCGAAAACATGATTTACAGTAAAATTTCACATCCCATCATATCCCATCATATTCCATCAAACTATAGTATATGAAACTCTTGAGACTCATCAGAATCCAACTGCACGGATCTGGACAAAGAACATACGACACACACCTGCCTCCTCCACAGGTTCATCTTGCTGCGCTGTGATGTCTTCTTTGGGCTCTGGAACCTGAGCGTGTGAGAACCGGAAAATTCTGACAAAAATACGGTTTCCCTCACGCGGAGACTTAGCTACGCCCTGCAACTTTTCACGTTCCCTCACCAGCGAGTGACTTTGAGGACTCTTCTGTATGATGTTCCATGAACATCACTGATATTGTGTCTCTGTCTAGAGACTGTGCAGCTCAGGCCATCCTAAAATTGAAAACCAATATAACACAGATTCACACAGTACAGTAAGCATACCATAGCATGACCGATGTTTCCCAAGCTGCAATTTCACATAAGACCAATGAAGATCATTGAAGATCACATGATCCAGTTCCAAAATCATTCAAATTGCAAACATATGAATTCACCGTTCTATCACTGTACGACCATTTTCATGCCAGACTTGGCTGCGCTCAGTCAACGAACCACTGCACTCCTGGATTTTCAGAAGCCTCGGTCTTCCAGCGTTGCTTGCGCCAGCCACACGCGCAGCACCGCTTTGCAAAACCAGCAAGGATAGGCGGCTGAGCTTGGAAGATCCTTGCCTCCTTGCCATCCTTGTGCGCCGTTTGGGCGCAATGTCTTGAGGTGGTAGCTCTTTGGAACACGGCGACGTTGGTTACGCCGGTGCAATCTTTCCTGCACGTTGCGGGCCCAGATTACAGACTAATGTAAATATATCTACAATCAGAATAAATATATATATATATATATCTAAAGTTATTCACAATACATCGAAAAATCATTGGTTATCTACAGTATTCTAGAGTATTCTACAGTACTCTATAGTTATTTGTTATATAATTCCCTTTGATCCATTCTGATCCCAACCAGGCCGAGGATCAGTGTAGTAAAGACGGTCAGCCTTTGTCATGGTGCGCTTCAAGGACTTCACTGTCCTAGGAAAAAAAACAAGAATGCCATAGAATGTTCCCAAACTCATAGTGATTCAATGTGATTCAAATTATTTCAAAATTGATTCAATGTGATTCTTCACATCTCATCATGATGATTTACGCACGGCGGGGCTGCACTTTGACTCAGGACAGCCATCTTATATAAGCCAAGGCTCTGCACATTGGTCAAAAGATGGGTCGGCTTATGCATGTCGGCGCCGAAGAAAGCCAACCATGTGCACACGATGAACCCGGGCCGTGTTTTTGGATGATTCTATTTGTCTCTTTCCTCTACTGTATGATACTGTATGTATGTCATGAATCTCTGCTGATCCCTGATGTACACACTCTCCTCTATAGAATCAGCGCTCTGGAACAGATTATATCAATCTTCCCGGGAAGCACACATTATCATACATATATTGAATTATTTTCTGATTTTATAGAGCCTTGGTGTACTTGCTCAAACTATCACAATACATCAAAGCACTCTCTATAGAATTGATGCACTGAAAAGCTCTAGCACCAGCGACCCTGGAAAAGAACACAAACTCGTACAAAAATGATAAATGCTCTGATTTTATAGAGACCATGTGCTCCCATCATTGCCAGAACCATCCAGGATCATCCAGGATCTCTCTTTTCTGACCCACAAGATCTCAAGATATCTCAAGCATTCTTGAGATTTCTCAAGCATCAAATTATTTCTGAATTTATGACTGATTGCGGCATTCCACAATCCGGCCATCAAACATCCCACCAAATATCATCAAACAGTGGATTTCTACTGATCAAATCTCCTGGGATCTCACGATTTCATTCACCATAGGATGAGCTTTCCCTCAGCGCATTCCACACGTACTCACGCTGGCACAGAATGAGCAGGGTGTCAATTCTCGGGCTTTGGATCGTAAATGTCCGCATGCAGGGTCTCGGTGCCAGCGTGTACTGTGCGGACCCAGATAAACTGCTCCCCTGTTAGATTCCCTGGTTGGATACTCTGCTTCACGCTGCTGTGGATGCTGCCGCGGCCACACACAACTCTCTGCAGGATCCAGGTTGGCTTGTACACCTGCTTCCACATGCTTGGGAACTTTTTGCGAGAAGACTAGCCAACAAGTTGAGCTGATCAGAATGACAATGAGAAGCAGCATGGTCTCGAAGACATACATGTACTTGCCACTCATCTGCGGAGGAGCCTCCCCTGTGACCCCTGTGGCTTCCATGCCCACCGTTGAGGAGATAGCAGGCTGCCAAAGTGTCCACTGTACAAGAACCAGAATGGCAACACGCGCAAACGCCATGGCACACGATGGTCACTGAGAGCTACCAACTACTGGCTACTAGAAATCTGCAGGATGCATTCCAACGGGTTCAATGGGTCTACCGTATACCACTCCAATCTGTCAACCCCTGTCCCCATTCATCCCCTATCCATCTCGATCCCAACCCTCCACAATAAAATCTCCTGGGACAAGCAGCAATCCGCCGGCTTGCAACACCTGCTGCATAAAGGCCTGCTTGAAAGCCCAGCTTTGCGCCGGTTGCTCTACGATGTACTTCAGGTCACGGTTAACCGACATCAGGATGCGCAGGATCACTGCCTCAGAAAAATGAAAAGGAGATCTACAGTGTAACAGTTGATAATTATGAACATCTACAATCATCTACATACATCTACAGGGATCTACAGGAGACATTCATGGCTTCACTGGACGCCATTGACACGTGTGCCCCACAGATCCCCACAGAACCTAAAATGCAAACAAGGTACAAAGTTTTCCCAGATTCTGTTGGCCAGTCTGACCTTAAAATTGGATGTGTCACCCAGCGGCCGCAGAATGGACCTTTGATGCACTGAGCTGCTCGCACCTGTAAAGAGCGAGCAGGGAGGCCCAGCGACCAACAAGCCTCCTGGCAATAACCTCAGTATGTAAAGAATCAAACGGATTCAGGAAAGAATCGACGGAATCAAAAGTATTGGACAGATCGAAAGGAGTTGAAAGTATCCTTCAAAAAATATAAAGTTATTTGATGTTATTTGAATTTATTTGATATGAATTGAATTGAATTGATATGACACGTATTGTAACATCACGTAAAGAATCGTAAAGAAACATATCAGGTTTCATCTTGCTGCAGTCTGTGTATTCAGCCAATTTAAGCAACCAAGGAACTCCATGCCCATTCCAAGCAGCTCGTAGAAACCACCCTTTGTGCAAAGGTCTTGTGATGGGCAATGCTTGATGTCATACACATGACTTTTGAAGCCCTTCTTGTTCCACTCACGCCTTGGCTGACCAACCATGACAAGTTTTCACACTTGAAATGGAAATTTTGATTGAACACATCTGCCACAGAGGTGGGATGGCCAGGGGTTGAATGGACACAGGAATTATGTTCTAATGATATTTGCTCAATTTTGTTTATCATAATTCATTCTAATTCATTCTAATTCAATAATTCAGTATAATTCAACATTACAATTCTTTTTTGACCTAGGCACGCCATCGCTCTGGAAAAACTGAACGCATCCAGCACATGATACGATCGTGTGCCTGTCCATGACTGGGCAAAGGCAAGGACCTCCTGGAAGTGGGCGGCAGCATCATACCACCTTGCCAATGCTGTCTTTTATAAAATTGAAAGGTCTAACATAAACAAATTGTAAAGTCTCTAGAAAATTGAATTTCTAGCAATGTAGGGCTTCAAAGCACTCCCCTAGGAACTACTCATGTCACTATAGAATTGAAATTCTAGCAATTTATAGCTATAACATAGAAATAGTGTAATTAGAAACACTTCCTGTCTGAATCTTTCTGACTATGTTTTCTGATTTTATAGAGACTATGCTTATTGTTCAACCCATGTAGTTCAATTTTATAGATCAACATGATCAGGATTCACGTCCAAAAAGTATGCAAACAAACTATCAAAATCATTAAACTTCTTTTAACTGCATCTAACTTCTACCAAAATCATCCAACATCGATCATAATCGCTCAAATATAGATTGCCGAGAAACTCTGCCTCGGAGACTGAACAAGTAGTATCGTCATCCAGCGAAGGCAACACCCGCACAGCCCAACCCGCTGGTGCTGCGCAAGCCAGAACCACAAGGACTCTGCAGAAAATCATGGCTCGCACAGCAAACAACCCAACCAGTCCAGTTTAACGTCCACGTCCCTGGCTCCGATTCCTTCACTCTCACCAAATGGCTACGAAAGAACACAAAAGAGTACAGTGAAAGCAAATGAAATCAAAAGCAGTCAGTCAAAGTCATCGGAAGTAACAACGCATGCATCACGTCTTGATCCATTCTGTAACCAAGAAACATCTTGATCTTGTTTGGGCACGCTCTTGCTGATCACGAGTGTCCACGTCCAGGTAGTCTCACCCCTTGGACAAATGGGTTGAAACGGAATGAAACGGATACCATGGATCAGGGCACCATGAATATGACAGCATCTGCTTTTAGACATGTTGAAATGTATTGGATAGGGTTGGAGGGTTTACTATATTTTACTATATTTTTTTATGGTCTATTTGGGTTTACGGACTCATCCCTCACTCCCCCTCAGTAGATTCTGTTTCCCGGCCAAGTGACGGTCGCCGAAAAACATGGTGATGCGAGCGACGTCCTCTAGCTCCAAGTAGTCCACAACGCGATACTTGGAAGATCAATGAATGAAATTGAAGACAAAAATCAACAAATGAAATCCCATGAATGCAAAGGATACCAGATGCATCCCAATGATTCCAAAAGCACAGAAACTGAATTGGACGACGTCTAGCTTTGTCTATTCCAACGTATCAAGCCTTCTCAACGCAATCAAGCAACACCAAACTGCACGTTGAGGACACCATTCTGGAGGTTCCACTTCATGCACGCAAGTTCCAATACCCTCGGTCAATCTCAGAAACAGTCCAGACATGTCCAGACTAGGCCAAGCCAAATAGATTCCACCCTAATCAAGAAAATTCCAAATTGATTTAACCAACCAGCAAATTCCACAGGAAAACAAAACATACCAAGAGTATCCAAGATTCGCAATACTTTGGGCATGGTTCTGCTTTGTTTTTGGCTTCAGCCATTGCTCTCCTCTTTACGGCTGAAACCAAAAGAGTTTGATAGAGTTTGTTGGTATTTGTTTGTTACGGTTTCTTCATGTTTGTTTCCTGGGCAGTTGTCTAAGCCAAAATGTTTGTTTTTTAATGTTTTTTATTGTTCTTTCATGTTCTTTACACTTGTGCATGGTGTTGACCCCATACCCCTGGGGCCTTGAAGTCACAAACCGCAGAATATCGGCCGGCGATTTCAACTCTGAATTTCATGACTCTGTGCAGCATTGGTTTTCTATAAAATTGAACCCCATCACCTCGAGTCCAACTCCCTGATCTTCTCTATATAATCCAACTACCTAACACATCAAGATTGATGACATCAGACATCTAGGATCTCTAGAAAATCAGATGGCATGAGCTCTCTAGAAAATCGACTATCATGACCTGGTCCCATACCTGTACACCCAAAATGTGTATAAAAAAATCGCTTTTTCATGCACCCAAGCATTTCGATTTTCTAGAGGAAATTGCAAGAGGATGCCACGACTACGATTACTTTTCTACTACTTCCTCGTAGCACAGGCTGCTTCTTTATGGCCTTCGTAGCACAGGATCCTTCTTTA